ATCTTCATGGGAAATTCTTCACCTATGAAGAAGACTTGCGCAAAGCCCTCACGGACTTCTTTGCATCAAAACCCCCCGAGTTCTACCACAAGGGCATTGAACAGCTGTAGACACGTTGGCAGAAGGTGCTGGATGCCGATGGCGATTACTTCGAAGACTAAATATAAGTTACACACACTGTGAAGCGTTTTCTTTTTTTCCTTTAAAAACGGACAGAACTTTTTTGGTTACCTTGTAGAATAAATAGAGTACTTCAGTTGAGAAAATACTTTTAAAATTCAAAAGTTCAATGTAAAATGTTAATATTGTTCATCAAATAAGTTTTAAGGTCATAATTAGAAAGGGACAGCTGTATTTTAGGGACACACACTGTGGAAGGAGGGCTTGGGAAATTTAACACATATTGGACATATCAAGAGGGTCAGAGCGAATAATCTAGCTAATGAATTTACGCGAATAGATGGTAGAGTAGTGATTGACTGGGACGGTAAAGAGCAGGAAAATGTCGGTAGCCATTGTCACCTACGCCTTAAGGGGAAGCAGAAAAGGAGGAGGAGGAGGAAGAAGAAGAAGATTCAAAACGTTTGGAACACCTCTTGTATGAATCATTGTTAAACTTTTTCAGTGATTTATAACTTTGTACAGAAGGATGCTGGGTATATCATGGACCGATTATGTGAGCAACGACCAAGTTTTAGAGAAAATGGAAGCAAAAAGGAAACATGCTTAACACTAGGAAGGGACAGTTGAAATTTCTAGGGCACATAATGAGGAAGGAGGGATTGGAAAATCTGATACTCACAGGACAGATTGAAGGCAAGAGGAATAGAGGAAAACAACGTATAACATACTTAGTGAGTTTGAGTAAATGGATGTCGGAAAAGGGTTTAGGAGAAATAACAGAAAGACAAAATTTATTAAGAGCTACAAAGGACAGGGAGTTATGGAGAGTCATAATCGCCTACTTCCTCAAGAGACACTACACCTAAAGAAGGCTATGTTGTCCTTGAAACACCACTTCTATTGCAGCTGCAGTACTTGTTGTGCCCCTATGATCCTAATTGGTTACGGGTCTCGTAATCGGGTTTTAATTTCTTAACTTCCTTGTAAAAATCATTTGTCCTTTTATTCTTTATGTGTTTTAGTTTAACTGGTCTGGTGCTCCTACTACATATCTTGAGATTCTTGACAAAATCCAAAGAATGGTCTATAATGTAATCGATCCTGACATAGCATCTCGACTTCATTGACTTTAACGCCACCGTGACGTGGTGTTCCGCTGTCTTTTCTACAAATACCTTCATGGAAATTGTTTTAATGAGCTTTCCTTCTTGGTGTCTAGACTGCATGAAATTAAGCGTTTTATTGTTGAACTAGCTAGATGCAACCGTATGTTCTATTCTGATAATTTCTTTTCTCGCACTTCTCGCCTGTGGAAACCCCTTCCGGTTTCTTGCTTCCCTATCAACTACGATCTTCAAAAATTTAAATGCAACGCCAATCACAATTTTCTGTCTACGTGAAACCTCTTCTTTTATTGTCCTTTTTCCTTACTAAAATCTTATCATTTTCTTTACTCCCAGTAAACCCTTAGCTTCTTACGGACATTATCGTTTTGCCGCTGGGGAGGATTAATAAAGAAGACATTTAAATTATTTAGTTTCTCTCAAGTTCTCAAATACATATTTTTATTTCTTTATTCAAATTGATAATCAAAACTTAGCATTAAAGCTGAGCATTATTCAAATGTTAAATCTGACAGCATTCAAAACACGTACCAACTAAAAGAAAGAATACACCCACTTTTACATCTTTTATTTGTAGAATTTTCAGCAATAGAAAATGCAATTATCTACGTTATTTTGAGAATAATGGCTCAAGTAATTGGAATAGATTAAATAACGACATTAATGAGTGAAAGAGAGAGAGAGAGAGAGAGAGAGAGAGAGAGAGAGAGAGAGAGAGAGAGAAAGAAAGAAAGAGACGGCAGGGAGGAGGTACAGCGGTAAAGAGATTAATACTACTTAGAAGGTTTTACTTTCAGATCCGCTCATAATAAAAGTGAATTTGGTACATCTGTAGACCATGTGAAGTCTTTCATGATTGTATCTTTAACAGCAGGTGGGCATGTATGAGTAACGTTACACGTTCTCTCCTCTCAACGGGTGCGTTTATATAGGATTACATTAAAGCCACAAAGGACAATTAATGCGTTAGATTAGGGACTCATTAGCTTGTTGGTTTATGTCGCAAAAAAGATATGAAAAGTGTCTTGTTAAGATCTGAATGCGCTTTTGTCATTGTTACTCCTTGTCATAGTGCTGAAGTGGCTCAGCGGCTAACAACCGCCATGCCTACCCGTTTCAAATTTCCAGGCGAAGAGTCTGGTTATCACAAATTAACCTGATTTTTAAACCATAGTTAAGCTACTTTTCTTGACGACAATTTTAGTATAAGTGAAATACGATCACTTTCTTTTTTTTTTACAACGAGGTAGAGGGTTAAGTTTGGATGCCATTTGTGTGTATAGGAATAGAAGATAACGATTAACCCTAGTTTTGAACAGGATAAGATTGTAGTGGTCGGAGAAACATCATGTTGAGAATTGGTTTCACAGGGCAGTGGTTCGCGGGAAGGAACTACTCGAGTGGAACTTCTCACCAAGGAAATATGGAGGGAATATGGATGGTTTGCTACTATGTAAGCGGCATGGCGTGTTCTTGATGTGAAGATTTGCCCCGGCGGGACCAGGGAATTTAGTTCGCCCGATCGCTTTCCGTGGAAATAGCGGCTGAGCAGCGAGAGGCTTGCCACATCCCGCCTATGGGAGAGAGGTTGAAAGGTGGAGAATAATTCCTCACGCACAGGGGCTCGGAGACGCTTTTGAACTCTATCAAGGCTGGAGAGTGGGGTCTGGGCAGCTCCCGTCCAAATATGACAACAGTACTCCATTTTTGGCCTGATCTGGCTCTTGTAAAGGTAGAGAGTAGCAAGAGGAGTCAGGTACTTACAAAGAGATTTTACCTGCATCCTTAGCAATGGATCATATGTACGAATTCCACTTGAGGTCGGGTATAAGTTTCACCAGTCTTTCAAGGCACGGTGCTTCTTCGAGAGGACCTCCGTTCATCCTGATTGGTGGTAGTCCACGGTCAGATTGGTAATGATGGGATGTAACTAACTTGGGCTTCAGAGTATTGGATGTAATCAGCCAGTTTTTACCTCATTGGGTAGTTTATGTAAGATTGGAAGAGTGATCAGTGGCCAATGTAGAATTTGTTCTTCCTTTGGATCTACTATTGTGTCACGCACGATTTAATATAAATAAACTAACGGTGATATTGATATAGACTAAGGGAAAAATAATAAAAGGGAATTATCTTCTTTCATGTGCCGTGAACCTTCAGAACGTAGGAGATCAATGGCTCTCCACAACTTCCTATCCTTTGTAGCACTAAGCTGTGTTTGTCTCCTTATTGTCCCTCCCTGTTCATTTCCTACCGTCCATTCACACAAGCTCACTGGGTAGGTTAATCGCTGTTTTCGTGTTCCTCTTGCCTTCAATATATCCTGTGATTGCCAAGTCCTCTAAACCCTCTTTCTTAATTATGTATTCATTCAGGACTTGAATGATCATGGCTCTCCATAACTTCCTAATCTATGCAGCTCTTAACAATGTTTTTTTTTTTTTGCTATCCATCCCAGACTTGTTCTGTCATCCATTTGCTTAAGTTCATTAAGTGGGTCAATTGTTGTTTCCCCTCTACGCCTCTTGCTTTCAATATGAGTTTTAAATTCTCTAAGCCCGCTTTCCTCCTCTTTCTGTTCCAAAATATAAGTGTCCATTTCATTTCCATTTTCCTTAAAACTTTCTCGTTGTTCTTATGTTCAGTCCATAGTATTCTCCGTATCCTTTTTTAGAATAATATTTCTGTTGCCTCGGGGTCCGGCTTCATCTGTTAGGAGATTGTCCAGCATTCACTACCATACAGGAGGACTGATATTATGTAATAATTGTACAATTTTATATTTGTTTTTAACAACATTTTTTGTTTATTTACATTATTTAAATTGTTCGGACTGTTGTCCTCATCTTTATTGCTATATTCACGACGTTTCGGCCGTTGTACATTCCGGCCTTTATCAGGTGATTGGAATTTCGAACTGAACTCTCTATTTCATCCACCGGGGTTGATTGTTCTAGTTCCACGTGCAATGCCGCTTCTGGATGTCTAGGTTATCTCCCTTTAACTCATCTCTCTAACTCAATAAAGATGACAGTCCGAACAATGTAAATAATTACAATACCTCATCTCAAAAATATAGACAGGTATTTTTCTGTTTTTTTTTCATATTTTCTTGATTCATTTAAATAAAATCAAGTTAGATCTTTTTTTTAATGTATAAATTGTATACAATATTCTTCGAATAACGTTCCTCAATCCTTGTGCAAAATTTAACCAGAAAAAGAAAAACAATTTTCTTCGGCATTTCATGATGTCAATACACTCCACAGAACGTTCAGCGGTTATTCTTTATAGGTCAATGTATGTAAATGTTATTTAACTTGAGAAACGCTTACTTTTAAGCTTTATGATTTGATGGCTGTTTTCAAGATAATTGCACGATTTTCAATAAATTATTCATTTATATTAAATTTGAGTCAACAGTTAATGAGACTTGACTGATCGATTGATCCGTTTTCTACAGCTTATCAAACTTCGCAGGTTAATTAAATAACCTGCAAAGTTTGATAAGCTGTAGAAAATATTGAAAACCAGAAATATTTTTAGATTGTAACAATTTTGTGGGAGATAAAAATGGTTTTAGTGATACAAGTCTTACTATTTAAGCTATAGGTGGGGGAGAAGAAGTGGTTTCATACCTTCTCCAATGGTATTTGCGCATAATTGAATATAACGAACCCAACGGGAATTGGAACTCGACTCTCCGATTAACAGTTCCGAGTCGTTATCCATTATACTTGTCGTACATCCAAGCTTACAACACCTGGTATTCCCAAGTGGTCACCCATCTATGTACTAACCAGGTTTAACTTCAGTGACCGTACGGAAACCGGTGTTTCAACGTGATGTGGCCGTAAGCCTTTTAATGATGTTAACTATCTTCATGTTAACGCATGATTTCTTTCTCGTCGCCAATTTCACTTATCTAAGAAAAATGAAGAAAATCAACGTTTATCTTTTTTGGTTTTCCAAGGGAAAGAAAACTTGTTTTCAAATATCAACTTTTAAACAGAAAGTAAGACCTTAGTACAGTATATGTATATACTTTTTGTAAATTTGAAGTTTTTGTTATTGGAACACCCTATATAATGGTTTTAATTCACTGGGTGTCCCATACTTTAACAAAAGCCAAAAATTTTAACGTACGATTCAATAATAAATCATCTTGTGGCATTAGAACCCCTAACACAGATTATTTTTTTTATTCATTCGGCTTTTGTTATTATTCAGTCAGGTAACTAAAACGATTATATATATTTTAAAAAGAATCGATATTTTGCATATTTAATATTTAGGTAAAAAGGAAAACTGTCGATGAGAATCACTGGAAAACACACCATATTTAATATAATTGACAACATTTCTGAGAATTTCACTCCTATTTAAAATCTGATACTGTTGTACGAGTGTTAATCCAAAAATCAATCATAGAATTTATATGCTCATTTGAATTTCATTTTTGATATATTCTCCCTAAAGGTTTTCTACTAAAACGTCACACGGAAGTTAATTTCTGATGAATCATTTTCCTTTAAGCGGCACTTCATATTACTTACATAACAGAGAACACACTATTGAGTATTTAAAAAGATTCTTTATATTAAAATAAAAATTATATTCTAACCTTTCTTTGTTGTATGGAAATGACTTTGTTAATTCCTTCTGGAATTGTATGATGATGCATGTATGAAGACGATGATTATTATTTTTCAGTTCATTATTACCATCCTATTTTTAACAAGTTATTTTGACCAGTCTCCACACCGCTCTCCACTGAGTCACGCTAATATTTTGAACAGAAATCATTATTACGACTCACGGATTTATGGATGTTTAAGTTGTAAATCTGATCTTTTTTTTTTAATAATTTCACATTAAGCAAAGCAACAATGCCACTAAAACGCAAGGGGGTTATTGAGTTTGAGAGAATATGAGAAAAAGAAAACATTATTAAAGAGGGAGAACAATAAAAGGACAGGAATTAAGAAGACAAAAGGCAGCGATTGACATTGCATTTAAATTTTGGAAGACCAAAGTTCGCAAGAAGTTGCAGTGCAATAAGTAGTTCAATAGAAGAAACTGTTAGCATAGAACTTACAGTTACATTTTGTCATTTCCAACTTTAAAATGATGAGACCTTGCCGCAATCTAGCACTACGCTTAAATTCTCAAAAAGTCTAGGTACCAAAGTGGAAAGCAGAACGATTATCATGAAAATATTTTTAAAGATGACCAAACATTAGATATTTCTTGGGGGCTGAGAGGACGGCAGTCATATGAATTCAGAGAAATTAACAGAATGCTAAATTCTGTAAGCAAAAAGTGAAAGAAAAAAACAATTATTTCAAACTCAATTTGAAAGCCCTTCTCCGAACGATTAGTCTGTTGCAAATAAAACTTACGTCATCTTGGATACAGCAAAACTATTATCGGTTAAACATGAATATTTTTGAAACTATCTTCAGATATAATTTTTATTGTGATTTAAATGCGTATAAAAATTTTGGCAACAGAAATACGAACAATGAAAGTAACATGACGAGTCATTTGTTCAATTCATTTGGTCAAACATTTGCTGAATCATCTTCAAACAGTGTTGAAGCAAAGCAAAATATAAAGGATTTCTTTTCCTGTTAAATTGAATTTTTATCTACATTTAGTTTTTTTTTTAACCAATCTAATTTTGTATCTAATCTCACTGATACTGTAGATAGAACTCCAGACATTGATATAAAAATAATTCAATAGAGCTTCTTAAATTTCTCTGTATAATGACGTTTCGTACATCACAAAACATTTTCTTGGGGGAAATTTAACGACTGATAGTGAGAAATTAAAACATAAATAAGCATAGCTCATTAACTATAGTCAATATGTATAATCCAATTTTTTATCCACCATTTCACACACATAAAGACTTATGTACTTTTTCCCCAGGTAAATGATTTAGTTTTCTGATGAAATTAATACGGCTTTAAAACCTCGGAACGCCAGTTCATTAGATCTTTTTAAATATTGATTCCCTTGGTATTTATACGCATAATGTGGTACTTTGGATAAAACCTGAAAACCCTCAATTCCAAATGTTCCTTTAAAGAAATTCGGTGTGTTAATTTCATTTATAAGAAAGAAAACAGATTTTATTAATTAATGCAAGGTTGAGATTTTGCCAAATGTCAGCAATTGTACCGACCAAATAACAAAAAAAAAAAAATAAAAATAAATAAATAAAAAAAGACAAAGAAAAAAAAATGGAACTGCTATTACCATATATTTTTACGGCAATGTTTTTTTATTGTTTTAATAAAACCCAAACATATGAAGAACTGACAACAAAAATATTAAATATTATTTTTTTATACGATTATAAAAATTATTAGAACAAATTATTAGCTTGTTCGGAAAATAATGTCCGATTTTATAATCAACTTTTATTCCCGAAATAATGTATTTAAACAGTATTTAAATCTGTCGAAATAGGAAACCTGAACATCTATATGTTTCCGCCATTGAGTTACAAGGTTATTTATGACTTCACGATAAAACTCTAAAGAAATCTTTGAATGCAGTCTCTGTATCTTCTTTTCAAATAGAATGTCTTTTGGCTTAAAAGATTGTCAAGATGTTTGAATAAGTGGTAGTCAGTAGGAGAGAGATCAGGGGAATATGGTGGATAGGTCAAAGTCTAGTAACCCAAGTTGGTGAGGTTCTGCAATGTTATCCTGACAACATGTGGCAAAGCATTGTCCCGAAGCAGTGACGGTCGAATTTTGCTTAAATAAATGTGCATTTCATCCAATTGCGGGCAGTAAACTTCACCATAGATGTCCTCGTTAAATTCCAGAAAACTGTAAAGGATAACACCAGTGGCGGACTACCAGAAAGTCACCATAATCTTTTGTTGGTGCAATTTCGGTTTTGGAAAGTGTTTGAATGTTTCGTTATGATCAAGGCTGGTCATTTATCATTGTCATAAAGGATTCATTTCTCATCTCAAGTTTTACTATTCGATCAAGAAATAGATCAATCGAATTTCGTAAAGGAATCATCAAACTTCTAAATGTCAAACTATTTGACTTTCATTTTGTTCATTTGGAACTCGTTTATTGTATTACTTCATCTTGACAATTTTATGGTGTTTTCAGATGTTGATTGTCAACTGCAGATGGACGTTCTCTACCACCCTGATCTTCAAGACTCGTATCCCAACAGCAGAATTTCAGAAACCAGTGTCGTACTTTTCGATCACAAGGGGATCCTTCTCGCATGCTCTATAAATGTTGGCAGCAGTTTGAGAAGCATTATCACAAAACTTGAAAACATGCAAAAAGATAAAGGCATCTCTTCTTTTTTTACATATTCAAGATGAGGGATGTATAAGGTTTTAAGTTAAATTCTGAAATCATTAGGAATGAGTTATATTATTTTGTACAACTATTAACTTAAGTTGTTAAATCTGAAAGGAAAAGAAAAAAAATCATTAGACGCTTAAATTTAATTCCCATTTAAAATCGGTCCAAGTTATTGGAACACCCTTTATAACATATGTTTAATGAACGGGGTGTGCACGTAACGTAGCAGTTATGGCCGCGGAAAATGAAAACAGCCGTACGAGTTCGTTGCGTTTACTTTCGCACAAAAACTGTTGGTAAAGTTATGTATCCGTCTTTTCTTCATTCCCCAGCTATGGATTAAATAACACGTAGACTTTTAAACTTGATTGACACCCAGTTTAGGAGAAGGACAACTATGAATTTAAAATTACTTGGGCAATTTCATCCCGTAAAACCTACTTGATACAGAAAGCTGAATAGAAAAAACCTAGCGTGTTGAGGATGTGGTCTTATACTATTATGGTAATAAGAAGGAGGGGACAAAACCATTCAAAGAAAGGAAAACAAAAACAGAAAAATATATGAGAAAACAAGAGACGAGTATTGAGCAAAATTTTTATAACGATTAACAAAAAAAATAAAATAAGCAAAAATTACTATGCAATGTAATTGTAACTATGTTACAATATTTAATAAGAGAATCATGAGAAAAATGAATTTGTGGTTTTGTCATTCAATTCTAGCAGATACTTTATTTAGAAGTGGTATATATTTATGACGATACAGTAAAGATTTCAAATATCAGTAAATGTTCGATCAAATTTTCCTTTGAAAAATAATAATAATAATAATTTTAGAAGTTATTTCTTTTCTTTATATATTTTTTTATCATTGTTGTCACGTTTAACAAGTACTAGCAGTAGAGCCCGCCGTTGCCCGGGGATATAACAGTAAGAGATAGATCAAGTATCCACCATCATAAAGACTGAAAAATAAAATTGACAAAGATTATTGTTTAAGGTTGACGGACACGCATGTCTTAATTAGTTTTTTTTTTTTTTTTTTTTTTTACGAATTGGTCAAACCCAAACTGAAACAAAAACATTGTTTTCAATCGTTATGAGTCTCTACCGATTGAATAGAATTTTTAAAACATTCTGAATGTAAAAATAAAGAAAAAAGTGTGCAAGACAATAAGAAACACTACATGCCAAAAAAAAGTGAAGTTTTGTTGAAATCGGTTGAAAAATGTAGGTAGCCTTTCTGTAATCTTTTAGTTTTACAATTTATGATTTTTACTTATTGAATACAGTAAAAAAAATGCATATTTTGCTTGTGGTGATTCATAATTAGAATTCTGATTTGAATATATTTTCCATTCGTTGTTTCTAATACAAAAAATATTAACTTTATTTGGGTTTATTAATTATGATCTAACAAATCTTATTCATTTAGTAGCCTTCTCTGTAATATATAATAATCTTTTACAATTTATGATTTTTACTTATTGAATACAGTAAAAA